CAATTGAACTAAACTATGCATGCCTATTTAAACATATTTATACATGGCTTGTGTATATCGTATATATACATATATATATTATTCATATCTTCGGTGTATAGGACGCAAGCAGATTTTAACATCAAATATTGAGGTAAAAAAGTGCGTCTTATACACCGAAAAATACGGTATAACGAGCTTTAATCCCCCAATTTCAATATTTATTTTTATAACGATTAATTTCCTTGTGAGTCAGCGGTAGGTTTACGAACTTAGATTTCTAGGTTGTTAGATTGTTTTAATTCTCTTGACTACAATATCTGGCTCATAAATGTTGTTTTTTGGATATTTGCCCAAAGTTACACAAGAACTATTTGCGATAACTTATCTTAATACGATAGTTTAGAAGAAAGGCAGCTAGTCGACAAACACACGTCGCCGACTCATGGACTACTAGAATCAATTAATAGTATTTGACAGTCACTCCACGGCCCAAAGTGTGTAACACGATCTTGCTGCAACAGGAATGCGAACCGTGGACTACCGGTTTTACAGTTCAGCACGCTAACCATTTTACCACACCCGGTCTCGATCACAACTGCTGAACAACATATATCAAACGGCACCTTGTACAATATATGGACTAAATGGCCAGGTAACAGAGAACCCCTAAATTTCAGGCGTAGCTATTCCTAATTTAAAACCGCTGGCTATAGGGTGTAAAAACCAATCAGCAGCACGCGCTACCTCGAATACTTTTAATCTAATAGAAGGATTGACTGTCGCAGTTATAAGACCTTCCACACAGCTGAGAGTGCAAAGCATGTTCAGAGGCATATCACAGCTCAAACCTTAGACCTATCGATCCACAGGTTGGCACTCTAACCACTAGGCCTCGCCCTGACCATCTATGTCATTAGAACCATTTTGTCTCTCTGAAATAACACTTTAGCAATAATGGTTCGTTTTTCAAAACATTGTACCTATACTCACTTGTTTTGGTGGCTCCCAGAAGTGTAAATGTAAACTTAGTTTTCAAAACACCAAATTCGCTCTTTGAAAGGTGCTGCTCAGAAAAATCCGTCATTTTCTCTAGAATAAGTCAAATATGAAACTGTCTTAGGGATTTTTGCCTTTAAAAGATTATATGAAAAACTAAATATCTTTATTTATATTACAAGCATGAGAGTTCTTATGTTTTTCCCACTTTGTAGGAGAGAATAAAATAAATTATTATAACAACTAGCAACCTTAACTATACTCATATTTATTTCTCTTTATTTGCTAGTTATGAAATTACTGTATTCGAAATTAAAGTGTATATACATATCAATGAGCACAGAATTTAGTGCTAAGCGATTCGTTCCTCCACACGTCCGATTGGTGCAAAAAATGAAGAAGTCTTACTTTAAAAAATAGTGAGAAACTTTGGAAGGAGTCGTTAAAGTTGTTTTTTTTTTAATTCGTATACAAATGTTTCTGCAGATTGAGACAAATAACTCAAATTTCAAATGAAAATAATTAAATTAAAATACTATTCTGCCCATACAGTTCTTTCTCTTCATGCCGACCCATTGTTTCAGATTCTCTACTAGTATATCAAATCAAGTCTATCACACAGTACCAAACTGAAAACATCCTTTTGATTGTTGAACATTATTACTGTAAATTTTTTGTTGGAAAAAATACAATCAAGAACAAATGACAAAAATGAAAATTTTACACTTCAGCCTATTGATATTATTGAATCGTACAAGGTGAATATAAAGGAAGTTTCACAGCTCGGTACATCATATCTCACAAACGGTATGGTATAGTAAAGTTAAATTGCACAGAGATGTTAAGGATATCATGCGGATGCAAATGCCATAATTGTCATATTTACTTACCAGGGAAGCTACTATTAATTACAGCAACTGATCAAAATGTGCTCCTCCAGCGTCCAGAATGCATTGTATCCGTGTGACGAGAGACATTACAGCAATAACGCATATATCTCATCTGGAATACTAGTCACTTCCCTGACAATTGAAGTCTGGAATTGTGAGAGGCTTCCCACGACAAGCACGTAACTTCATGTATCGCTACAACCAGATATCGGCTGCTGTTAGTTCCGTTGAAAAGGGTGGATTCTCGAGGAAAGTGAGGCGAAGTGATTCTATTCTGAAAGTGCTCCCGCAAGACGGCTTCACCTGATAACAATATATAGAGGAGCATCATTCTGCGTGTAAACAGTAGAATCACATTTCATGATTGCTGCAGCATGGGGATCACAGTGGTTGTGAGCATTGTGTGGTATAATGCAGCAATCACTGTGTAGGTTTTCAGTCCATGCTCTGGTGGGTCTTCCAAAAGCATGGTTCAATATAAAAGTCAACTGTGAAATCACGCCATCATGGAGGTGTGGAGGAAATGTTACACGTGGATTAGGTTCCGACCAGATGATGCAGTTGCGCATATTCAGAAAGGATGAAGTATGATTCATCAGTACATAAGATTTTGGCAGGTCATTAGTAATCGACTTCCAGTAATTCCAAGAAATCCAACACAAAGCCAATACGTTGGATTAAACCCATCTCTTTCTGTGATCGAAAATGATGCAGCTTGAAAGTAAACATTTGCAAAGATGATCGGAGAGCCATACGGACAGTTAAATTGGCAAAACCAGACACTAGAAAAGATAACGTGCATTGCTGCACCCCTACATACTTGTGTTGGCTTGTTCTGTTATGACAGGTCTGACCTCAGCGATTGTTTCAGTAGATGTTGATGGTCTGCTTCTACGTGGCTTATCATATTTGCAACCTACCTCCTGATTTCGTTATGAACTAGGGCGCACAGTAACACTGAAACAAGGCTTTCTGTGGGTATTACGTACTCTACAGTATTTCCAGTGTAATAACATTACACTGTTTCACCTCTATATTTCTACACATTTTTCAGGTTCATGTTGGTTGAATGAATTTCATTGCGATCGATAAGCACATTTATAATCATGGGAAATATGCGAAAGAAACCACAATGGTGTCCCTGGTGGCAACTTGTGACAACTGTTGTATTTGTGTCAGCATTATATCCTTAATCCCCTATGTAATTTTACCTTTCTATGGCATATCGTTTGTGAAAATACGAAGCGCTGAACTACAAAATGTTCTTTACAACCACCCCGTATAAGGCCAAATGTGAATAATATTTTCCGAAGTAGCAACGTCGGACATAGAAACATGTGAAACTTATTTCCTATTAGTGAATTGGGAAACAGAATTGTCAAATAAGAAGTTTAACAGAAATAGGTTCCAAAGGTTCTTTCTTTCTTTTTCAAATTACTTTCCATGGTCCAGGATGGTGTGGACAAAGATTAAATTACTAATATTCTTTGAAAGGATTACAACTCACCAGCTTTAACCATCCAGAACAATAACCGGATAAACCTATGGTTATTCACTGTCCGAAATGCATATTGGTAGTAGCCACTGAGTTGGTTGATACCTTGGCTTCTAAAGACGAGGGTATCCATTTGTCTTGGAATGCAATTCTTCTCTGACGTCTTATTGACAAGAGGATTTTGCTTCTGTACTTCTTTAAAACTGGGTGTTTCTTTTGGGATCTCAGTTTCTTTGTATAATACACAGAAAAGGCAGTGAGACACAACAAATCACGTTTTGAAGCATCCGACAATAATTTTTTGAACTGTCAGTCAATCAAGATATTAACAACTTTAGTAACGACAGCCGTTTCATAACGAAATATTTATTGTTTTGTGTTGATGATTTGGTTTAAGGTTTGTTTTGTTTTAAAATTTAAAACTTTCCAAAATTATAATTGTGAGACCAGCGATGAAATTGAGTAAAAATATAATATATTTAATACAGTTTTTGAGAAATTAGGTTGTATTTTAAGATACATTTTGAATGTTAAATTGTAATATAAATGTTCAAACCGAAAGACTTACACAGCGTTAGCAATCAATTTAATATTGCTACAATCCCACAGGGTCATAGAATTTCAAAAGTATATTGAGAACAAATGTTTTTACGTATGTTTATAAATAAATATCTCTCGTCAGAAGAGTTCTAAAGCAAAATATCACACACACACACACTCACCTTCACTAACACAAATAGGACAACAGTGTCCTAGGACATGAGTTACTTTAGCACATAAAGAGGTTTTGGTTTCTTTACAGCTCAGTCGACTACATACCACTTTACCTAGCTTTAGGAGAATAGATTAGAAGTAATTAGAGTAAAAAAATCAGAAGAGCTTTCAGAAACGTATAACAAACATGGATTTAATATACGACAGTCAGTATCTAATTTTAACAGAACTTTCATAAAATATTATTTTACAGAGATTTGTGTAATCCAGCAAGAAGTTGAAAAATATATTTCATTCCAGTTCTTGCTTGATAGATGGTTGAAACAGAGAAGACTAGACTTGAAAGGCGCTGTTAATGGACTGCATCTGTCTAGGACATTTTGGACAACATTTCTAACTGCTTGCTAGCTCAGAGCTAATGAAGACTTGCGCTAGCAGCTCGAAACGTTGGCCAAAACGTCCAAGGCAGATGCAGTCCATTAACAATGCTTTTCAAGTATATTCGAGTTACACATTTATATATAAGTGTTTTAATACACGCGTTCAACTATCGACGTATGATAATAAAATTAATAAGTATGATCTTTACTGGTTTTCAGTTTTTGTTGTTTTTTGCGATGTAAAAACATATAATTTGTAATAAACTTCATGTATTTTTTAAAGTTCCCTCAGTTACTCATTCATCAAATCTTGCCAGTGCGACTTCACTGTGGAAGAGCACTTCTAACACAGAAGTTACTTTTCTTACCTTTATACATACAAATTTATTAAAATATTTATTATTCAGTCAATTTTTAAGAAATTAAATATAAATAATCATGAAAAGAGACATTTCTAACTTAATTTATTTAAACACTTTACACCTTAGTGAAATAGTTAATAATTTTATGAAAGCTTAGTTGTCTGTGACAGAAAATATTTTGTATATATTTTCATTAAAGACTAAAACAATTTATTTATTTTAAATCTGAGGACGTGGAAGAAGATTTTATGACAGTTTGTCATGGATTACTAAATCTAGGTCTGAGCTTAAATTTTTTCATCAAAAGGTGTGTTAATACAAAAGTTGCTGATAAAATAACATTAAAATATAATGTTTTAAATTATTACAATATTCACTTTCTGTTCTTTAACAGTTACTGAATGTCACTCCAACCTGACATTTGCATACAACGCAGTCCATTCGTCCAAGCGGGCCAATCACAGGGTGCCACGTGGCGCCCTGAGAATAGATCTGACCTCCAGATAAACAATCTGCGAATGTGAAAAAAAAAAAACAGCTGTTACAAAAAACAAATAATACATTTTCTTAGTGTTATTTTGAATGGTACTACAATGTAAACAAAAAAAGACTTACTAAGCAATTGGATATGAGCGTTGGAATGTCAAAAATCGCATTTGCTTATTAATATATTTTCGAAATGAAACTTTTGGATGAGAAAGTTTTATTAAAAATTGTCCCACAAAGCAACATAAATATGATTATAAGTCGTTTTTGCAAAATCTAAAATGTGTGGACTTTTAGGATTGCACTTCACTTTTGGCGAAAAAATTGGTTGAAAGTGATCCTATAGGTTAGTCTATTAAGGATGAACCATACGTGTTCGATAGAGTTAATACCAGACTATTGACTTGGCCACGGGATAACGTTTTGTAGTTGCCTTGTATGTTAAATTGGTCACTGGCACAGACAGGTAAACGGCTTTGCTCGAGAATTGTGATGTATCGAGCTGTAACTGTCTAGGTAGCCAAAGGACACCCTACTATAATAGAAATACCGCCATATTTTGTCTTTTCTTGCAGATGATGACGAAAGTTGTTGAGAGGATATTTGGGAAATCTTGATATGTCCAATGTTTGAGAGTTGTGCTAATCTGGACTTCCTAGGAAAAGTTATGGTATCCCAAAAGGCAGGAGAGTATGATGCCCACTGTTATCGACGTGCGATATTGCCTGGAGTGAGAAGTGGTTTCTATCTAGCTATCTGCCACTGTAGATAATGCTATGACGATAACTTCTGAAGGTGATTAGACATACTTGGATCTGCTCTGCAATTTAAGTAGCTGTTTTACATGGGCCATTCTCCACAATTCTCTTCACAGGACGAAGAATCTGTTCTGATGGATTTGATCATCCTGATCGTGCAGCAGCTTTTTTTCTATATGAATAGATCTTTAATGGTAACCTGTTCATTGTAAACAACGGTATTATAAGTGGCTTTACGATTTTTCCATTGTCTAACTATGTGAATTCGTGAAAAGTGTGTTTTTCCCCGGGATTCTTCTGTTCATGGCATAACTTTTTGTATTTTGTGGTTTTTAACGAAATATACCTGTATTTATACGTTGATTATTTGCATATGAGGTCATGGAGATGGTCGGTTCCATTTTCAGGGTTGATTGTTTACCTACTGATGAGCTGTGATTCATTTGGTTTAAAAATAGCTAAAGTTATATTTTGTATCTTTCCTTTATGAATGTATTTCTTGGTGTAATCCATTAAACTAAAAAGTATATCTTTTTGTCTGGTGCAAACATTTAGTGCTATCTAAAGAAGCTTGGTTGTTTACTGAAAGATATTAAGAAGGCTTAAAGTTTAGATGAGCACACACATGGAAACTAAAGACAGATATTAGGATTTTTTTAAATCTAATTATAATAGAGGTTTCAAACCTCGAAATATTTAGTTATAATAAAGAAACCTTGTAATTAATAACTAATAAGAATTTAAAAAAATGCATGCTATTTAAGTTTCTAGAATAGATTTATGTGTATGGCAAACAAGACAGCTTGTTACAGATGTTACTTCTGAACAGTTAAAGAACTAGGGTTAATGGAGAAGACGTATTGGTTTTGTTATTTAAGTCTTATTAAATGTGAAAACGTGTATTAAGTATTTGGGAAGAGGCAATGAATGACATAGAAGTATAAAAACTGCAAGTTAGATGGTTTTTGATTACGTTAAGAAATACAAAAGTAAACAATGTTTTACTGTAAATCCAACAAGTATCAATACTACATTGTTCATACTGGGAACTAAGAGTACTGCTCTTCGAAAAAGGTTAACGTATAGACAATTCTGAATAAAAAGATTGTTAAGGATTCAATTAAGGGATATTAAGCAACGAAACGATAAGAAAACCAGATCAGTACAAATTTACAGCAAAAACATGAAATATCAAAATATTTAAGTTTCCAAAATCTCAAGATCAAATACCACACATCTGGGTTATATCATTCTCAAACATAGAATATCAAACTCACGTTAACAACTATTCAGGTCAATATTAATCCCCAAGTAATTTTTCTAAAGAATTCTAATTAGAAACATCCCAACATCAAGTTATTAAAGTTCCTCAGTTGTAATATTTCAAATTCAAGTTATCAAGATTTCCAAATAGTATTATTAAAAAACAAATCAATTTATCAAAATTTTTAAACACACAAACTAAACAGACACTGACCATTTCTTGAGTTGCCTCTTTTGTTTGTGAAAGTGAACGTCCCAAGCATATGTTCGTGAGTGCCGGCGTCTTCAGTCTCCATGTCTGCTGAATTTTATAGGAAGTATACGAAATAACAAAGTTATATATTTGTTTTTAGTAAAGAAATTAGGGAATTATTGTCTCTCAGTAGTCGAAACACATAAAAAAGCAATTGAAATGGCGTAGAATTAATAATTTTGTAGCATGACCTGGTGGTTAGGGCATTCGACTCGCAATACGAGGGTCACGAGGTCCAATCTCGTCTCCGAACATGCTCGCTCTTTCAGACGATAAATCCCACTATTCGTTGGTAAAAGAGTAGCCCAGAAGTTGGCGGTGGGTGATGTTGACTAGCTGCCCCTCTTTAGTCTATCATTTCAAAATTAGGAACGGCTAGTGCAAGTAGCCCTCGTGTAGCTTTACGTCAAATTCCAAAAAACAAATACAAAATTGTGTACATAGTGACAGTTGGGTTTTATCTACACGGGGGCTTTCTCAAAGCTTATAACATTATGCAAAATATGCGTGTTATAATCAAACCTCAAATTATGGATATTGTTCTAAACAAGTATTGTAGTAATGAAAGGGGCCAAAGGTTTGGCTCAACGTATGAGAATAGGAAGAGGGGATTGACTGTTAATAATGGAAGAAAATATAATTGTTACGGTATATTATGATACTATTATTTCGATCAGCATTTATAATGAATATTTTGAGACAACCCCTATAGACTATCTGATAGATCTCAAATCGATATTTTGTAAAATTGCATGTGCCTTCTTATATTTGTGTATGATACTGAAGGTGGTGAGTTTTTTGTAAGTTAACAATTATCTATCCCCGACCAAGTTCAACCTTAAACCATAACTCTTAGTTGGCAGGGATGTGAACATTTAAAAAAAAACATTACATTTAAAATCAGAATCTTAAGATAATTTATTTCATTTGTTCTTACAAGTATTTTCAACTCTTACAAGTGTTTAAATTTGCCACCCTAATTGTTTGTTATTAAGCACAAAGTCACTCTATGGGCTGTCTGTACTATGCCCACCGCGAATATCGAAACCCAGCTTTTTGTGTTGTGAGCTCTCAGACTTACCTCTGAGCAACCATGAGGGGGAGCCACTTAGTGACAGTATACGACATATCAAATAATATGCGTGAGAATTCTATGTAAATTTAGTGCTCAACAGTTATAAATGTTTTATATGTTCTTACAAACTAGTTTGAAAACTTTGTTGTTATTTTATTTTGTACAAAGCTAAACAATGGGCTATCTGTATTGAAGAACCAATCAGGATTTGTACACTTAACACAGGAATATTTTCGGTTCCAGCATTAACTTAAAACTACGTGCTGCAGGTCTGAAGAATAAAGTATCAAAATTATGAAAGAACCGAGAATTTCTTTAACATAATCTTATGCCGATTACAATACAACTCAACGCTAATAATGTCTTATTCAGCATCAGAATCTTTTAATGAATTCAGATGACAGAGCAAGTTTGAAAATTTCATGTTTGGTAATTCCAAAAATGAGTTACATAAAAACAACCTTCACTTTTCATTTCCTACAATGAAATAACGTACATGTAATATCCACAGCCAAAGTATTGATCATAAGTTCAATGACTTATTGTATAATAACCTTTAGTTCATTTCTCAGCAATCGGAAGAAAAATCAAAAGAGTCCATATGCTGCTAATACTTGGAACTATGTACATGCACGAGTAATTTCCATGAACACTGAAAACTGCCCCTTCCAATAGAAATGAATATTTTCTTGCAATCAGACCAAACTACCTACTTAGAGCGAAACTAAAAAAAAAACATCTGATAATAAGTATATAAAATGAGATATATTTTTCTTACGTTCTTACTTATAAAGATTACAATGCATTATTTCATCAGTTGGTTAACCTCGCTGTTAACGATATATTTGGCCGTAAAAGTCTTTCTTTCGTAATCCACCTATAAAAATGAGATATAAGCAGGCGTAGCCAATTGGTCTTATAAAAATGTTTGTTGTTGTCCCCTAACTTAATATTGGATCGAATTATTTCCTTATACTAATAGGTGTTGTATAGACTCCTCAAGATATCAGTAGAGAAAGTGAATGTTATGCATTATCACAGACCCTTTTGATCATACTGATGAATTATAGGCAAGTTGAAGAGTTTGGGAAAAAATCTTAAACTAAGTCTGGAAAATCAGTTTGACTCTTAGTCGCGAGGATCACTAAAGGAAGTCAAAATAATGCGTATATATAAGAAAAATTAAGTTTGTAGGACGCTTCAAATAAAATCTATTTCACAAAAAAAGGTATTATTATGTAATTGGCTAGCGTATTACTTTGATGTTTAACACGTCATTCACAGCAACGAAATTAAAAACAAATTGTTGTCTAAATTAAAAACAATTTTTGCATGTTGGTGATGGTAAATCTTACAACATTTAACCATGGTGATAATTTACAGAACATGATAAAAAAAATCATTCTAATTTCAGTTTGTTTACATCAATACAAAGTAGTTTATAACATGGTAACATTTAATTTTAACGTAACAGTCAAACAAGACTGTAGTTTTTAATAATGTGTAATGGATACCTTTTTGGGTAAAAAAAGGATTTATTTCATCAAAATAGGTTAAAAGTTTGTATACTACGCCTACAGTGTTTTTTCTTCTTCACGAAATAAAGATTTAACAGATTAGCAAAAAACTGAATACAGTGTTCTATACAAATAAAACTTGACTATTTTGTAATTTACCGTGACAAATTGAGTTACAATTATCTGTCATTGATTCAGTCTCTGAATAGTTTGCTAAACCTGTTTTGTTTTCACAGTAAACAATCTTAAATATATGTATAAGACAACTGCCAATATTACACAAGCTAATGTCGACTGCATCCAAATGCCTCAAATTGAACGTGTGCAACAAGTTTTTCAAATGTAGAAAATCAGCACAATGTATACATCTCTATTGGCTAAAATAAATATATTGTATTTCTATAATACCATTGCTTGTAATGGCACAGTTAAATATAAAGAGTTATACGATATATATATATATATAAACGATATGCATATACTAATATAGCAGCGAGTCACAGCAGATTCGAAATGAAATGCCACAGTCAACATGTTAGCACTAATATATTCGGTTCAAGACCAATTCTAGACTATTCAACAGCTTACGTCAACATCGAAAGATTTGTTGTAGGCTATTATGGTACTAGCATTTCCAAGGAAAAGACAACATTTGGAAGACAAAAGACCATTCAGTAATTGTATTGGAAGTTGAAACACTCGAACAACAGAATGTTCAGGATAGAAAGGATCTCTGAAACCACATCCTAACACCATTGGCTCAAGGCCCTCATCAGCGAATAAAAGGTTAGGGTTAAAGGAAAGAGCCCGCTAACACAAAAAGGTATTGCAATGAAGATGGGCATACTACCTGGTGCCATTAACAAGAAGATAAAGGTTAGCCACGAACGAAGATATTATAAAATCTAACATCATTAAGGATTGATGAAGAGAGTTCGGAGTAGATGGACTACTTTAATATTAGTTCTACATATACCAGGTAGACAATGCTTGTCCCAATAACTGATATTGAGTTGATTAAATGCTAGAACTGAGGACAAATTTTTTCTAAATATCTTTTTTATTGTTTGGGACAGTTTTAAGTTAAATCATTGTTTTGTGTTAAGGTCAATTCTTGTTGCAAAAATGAGAGGCCGTGATGAACTGTTTAGGTATCTTTTGTTCATATCAATAAGATATAAACCTGTATAAGATACATTATTTTTGGTGTATAGGCTTTTGAATTTTTTGGCCTTATCTATTAAGTTCAGTTGCTGATTTACATTAGTACTAACCCTTTTTTATATATTTCCTGAAAGTTGATATGTTATAGAATCTTTTGATTGATCGCAACTTACTTAAGAACCTACTGAACTCTCGGTTTATTACAGTGAGAGTGAAGGTGGTGCATTAAGTTTTTATAGCTTTTCTTCTCTGCCCAAACTTACATTCAGGGGCTTTGCACAGACTGATTCAGGCACACTTTAGTATCAGTTAAAGGAAGTGACGTAAGCCAACCCCGCGAGAGTCGATCAGAGTAGCATTCTAAAGTCGTATGAAAAGCCAACACATCTTTGGACACTACTATAAAAACAACGTAATTATGGACGGAAATGAAAACATCCCATTTCGTCTTTGTCATTAGGAGGCCTCATAGCACAGCTCGGTTCTAATTTACAGTCAGACCTGTAACGTCGAATCCTGGTCGTAACACCCTTGACACATTCCTTTCAATTCTGAGCATCAATAATAGCAAAAACACGGTTTTTACATGGACAACGTTGGCAAAGTGCAAATGACGCTTTTAGTAACAGTTGTGAGAGGTGATGTTTCACGTTAAGTGAGTATCATACACTAAACCAGTTTCATTCATAAAACAGGGTTTAAGTTTCTCAACGTTTAAGTTTCAATGAAACAGTAACTTTCGTTGCGATTGGAAATAGACCTTTCCTTAATTAAAAGACCATTCGGTATTAAGACTGAGTGGACAATCATCTTGGAAAAGTAAAGTCATTCATTTGCCCTTCTCATATTGTCATTGGCTTACGCGTTAAGTAAATTTTCCATTGTCACCAGGTGACACCGCTGTTCTCATGGTCTCTTGTGTTAGATTAAAAAATAAGCTAGCCTGTTTGCTGTTCGCTTTTAGATAATAAGAAAATCATCTATTCCTTAATTCTTCATGCAAAAAAATATAAAAAAATATATGTAGTCGTCTAACTTTATATTCTGATTAACCTTTGATGCTTAGCCTTCTGAGTCACGCAGAAGACATCATGGGTCTATAAATATTTATCTTTCATTACACTGATAAGATGACAACAGCAAACCATTTGTCAAAACAAAAAGCTCTAAACAGATAGCCCATTGTGTAGCTTTGAATTAATTACAAACAAACAAACTTATTTTAACAGGGACATTTCTTTAGTTTAAACATTCTATGTTTTGCAATTTTTAGAATGTTTTACATGCATACA